GTTCACACATTGTCTCTCTGACAGGGGTCAAGTTGTGCATGCATTGTTCACATATTGTCTCTGACAGGGGGTCAAGTTGTGCATGCATTGTTCACACATTGTCTCTGACAGGGGTCAAGTTATTATGCATTGTTCACATATTGTCTCTTACAGGGGGGTCAAGTTGTGCATGTATTGTTCACACATTGTCTCTGACGGGTCAAGTTGTGCATGCATTGTTCTCACATTGTCTATAGCAGGGGGGTCAAGTTGTGCATGCATTGTTCTCCATTGTCTCTATAGCAGGGGGTCAAGTTGTGCATGCATTGTTCACACATTGTCTCCGACAGGGTGTTCAAGTTGTGTGCATTGTTCACATTGTCTCTGTGGTCAAGTTGTGCATGCATTGTTCACACATGTCTCTGATGAGGGGTCAATTGTGCATGCATTGTTCACATTATCTCTGACAGGGGTCAAGTTGTGAATGTATTGTTCACACATTGTCTCTATTGGTCAAGTTGTGCATGCATTGTTCACATTGTCTCTGACAGGGTGTCAAATTGTGCATGCATTATTCACCTATTATCTCGACAAGGGATGTCAAGTTGTGCATATTGTTCACACATTGTCTCTGACAGGGGGGTCAAATTGTGCATGCATTGTTCATATTATCTCTGACAGGGGGTGAAGTTGTGAATGTATTGTTCACATTGTCTCTATTGGTCAAGTTGTGCATGCATTGTTCACATTGTCTCTGACAGGGGTCAAATTGTGCATGCATTGTTCACACATCTCTGACAGGGGGTCAAGTTGTGCATGTATTGTTCACACATTGTGTCTCTGTGGTCAAGTTATGCATGCATTCACACATTGTCTCTAGCAGGGGGGTCAAGTTGTGCATGCATTGTTCACACATTGTCTCGACAGGGTGTTCAAGATTGTGTGTGCATTACACATTGTCTCTATTGGTCAAGTTGTGCATGCATTGTTCACACATTGTCTCTGACAGGGGTCAAATTGTGCATGCATTGTTCACATTATCTCTGACAGGATTCAAGTTGTGCATGTATTGTTCACACATTGTCTCTGACGGGTCAAGTTGTGCATGCATTGTTCACACATTGTCTCTGACAGGGGTTCAAGTTGTGCATGCATTGTTCTGTGTCTCGTGGGGGTTCAAGTTGTGCATGCATTGTTCACATTGTCTCTGACAGGGGTCAAATTGTGCATGCATTGTTCACATGATATCTCTCTGACAGGGGGTCAAGTTGTGCATTTATTGTTCACACATTGTCTCTGACAGGGGTCAAATTGTGCATGCATTGTTCACACATTATCTCTGACAGGGGGTCAAGTTGTGCATGTATTGTTCACACATTGTCTCTGACAGGTCAAGTTGTGCATGCATTGTTCACACATTGTCTCTGACAGGTGGGTCAAATTGTGCATGCATTGTTCACACATTATCTCTGACAGGGTCAAGTTGTGAATGTATTGTTCACACATTGTCTCTGACGGGTCAAGTTGTGTATGCATTGTTCACACTTTGTCTCTAGCAGGGGGGTCAAGTTGTGCATGCATTGTTCACACATTGTCTCTAACAGGGTCAGTTGTGCATGCATTGTTCACACATTGTCTCTGACAGGGGTGAGTTGTGCATGCATTGTTCACATTGCCTCTGACCGGGTCAAGTTGTGCATGTATTGTTCACATTGTCTCTGACAGGGGGTCAAATTGTGCATGCATTGTTCACACATTATCTCTGACAGGGGTCAAGTTGTGAATGTATTGTTCACATTGTGTCTCTCTGACAGGGGGTCAAATTGTGCATGCATTGTTCACACATTATCTCTGACAGGGGTGTCAAGTTGTGCATGTATGTTCACACATTGTCTCTGACGGGTCAAGTTGTGCATGCATTGTTCACACATTGTCTCTGACAGGGGGGTCAAATTGTGCATGCATTGTTCACACATTATCTCTTACAGGGGGGTGAAGTTGTGAATGTATTGTTCACACATTGTCTCTGATGGGTCAAGTTGTGCATGCATTGTTCACACATTGTCTCTGACAGGGGTGTCAAATTGTGCATGCATTATTCACACATTATCTCTGACAGGAGGTCAAATTTGCATGCATTGTTCACATTGTCTCTAGCAGGGGGGTCAAGTTGTGCATGCATTGTTCACACATTGTCTCCGACAGGGTGTTCAAGTTGTGTGTGCATTGTTCACATTGTCTCTGGAGGTCAAGTTGTGCATGCATTGTTTGCACATTGTCTCTGATAGGGGGGTCAAATTGTGCATGCATTGTTCACACATATCTCTGACAGGGGGTCAAGTTGTGCATATTGTTCACACATTGTCTCTGACGGGTCAAGTTGTGCATGCATTGTTCACATTGTCTTGCAGGGGGTCCAGTTGTGCATGCATTGTTCACACATTGTCTCCGACAGGGTGTTCAAGTTGTTATTATGCATTGTTCACACATTGTCTCGGGTCAAGTTGTGCATGCATTGTTCACATTATCTCTGACAGGGAGAGTCAGAGTTGTGCATGTTGTTCACATTGTCTCCACAGGTCAGGTCAGTTAATGTGCTGACTTGTCTCTGACAGGTGGGTCAAATTGTATCATTGTTCACACATTATCTCCACAGGCAGGGGGTCAGGTTTGTACATGTATTGTTTCACATTGTCTCTAGTGGTCAAGTTGTGTATGCATTGTTTGCTTTTGTCTCTAGCAGGGGTCAGTTGTGCATGCATTGTTCACATTGTCTCTAACAGGGGGGTCAAGTTGTGCATGCATTGTTCACACATTGTCTCTGACAGGGGGTAGAGTTGTGCATGCATTGTTCACACATTGTCTCTGACGGGTCAAGTTGTGCATGTATTGTTCACACATTGTCTCTGACAGGGGGGTCAAATTGTGCATGCATTGTTCACACATTATCTCTGACAGGGGTCAAGTTGTGAATGTATTGTTCACACATTGTCTCTGACAGGGGTCAAATGTGCATGCATTGTTCACACATTATCTCTGACAGGGTGTCAAGTTGTGCATGTATGTTCACACATTGTCTCTGTGGGTCAAGTTGTGCATGCATTGTTCACACATTGTCTCTGACAGGGTCAAATTGTGCATGCATTGTTCACACATTATCTCTTACAGGGGGGTGAAGTTGTGAATGTATTGTTCACACATTGTCTCTGATGGGTCAAGTTGTGCATGCATTGTTCACACATTGTCTCTGACAGGGGGGTCAAATTGTGCATGCATTGTTCACACATTATCTCTGACAGGGAGGTCAAGTTGTGCATGTATTGTTCACACATTGTCTCTGACGGGTCAAGTTGTGCATGCATTGTTCACATTGTCTCTGGGGGGTCAATTGTGCATGCATTGTTCACACATTGTCTCCGACAGGGTGTTCAAGTTGTGTGTGCATTGTTCACACATTGTCTCTGACGGGTCAAGTTGTGCATGCATTGTTTGCACATTGTCTCTGATAGGGGGGTCAAATTGTGCATGCATTGTTCACACATTATCTCTGACAGGGGGTCAAGTTGTGCATGTATTGTTCACATTGTCTCTGACAGGTCAAGTTGTGCATGCATTGTTCACACATTGTCTCTTGGGGGTCAAGTTGTGCATGCATTGTTCACACACATTGTCTCCAGCAGGGTGTTCAAGTTGTGTGTGCATTGTTCACACATTGTCTCTGACGGGTCAAGTTGTGCATGCATTGTTCACACATTATCTCTGACAGGGAGGTCAAGTTGTGCATGTATTGTTCACACATTGTCTCTGTGGTCAAGTTGTGCATGCATTGTTCACATTGTCTCTGACAGGGGGGTCAAATTGTGCATGCATTGTTCACATATTATCTCTGACAGGGGGGTGAAGTTGTGAATGTATTGTTCACACATTGTCTCTGACGGGTCAAGTTGTGCATGCATTGTTCACACATTGTCTCTGACAGGGGGTCAAATTGTGCATGCATTGTTCACACATTATCTCTGACAGGGGGTCAAGTTGTGCATGTATTGTTCACACATTGTCTCTGACGGGTCAAGTTGTGCATGCATTGCTCACACATTGTCTCTAGCAGGGTCAGTTGTGCATGCATTGTTCACACATTGTCTCCGACAGGGTGTTCAAGTTGTGTGTGCATTGTTCACACATTGTCTCTGACGGGTCAAGTTATTGCATGCATTGTTCACACATTGTATCTCTAGCAGGGGGTCAAGTTGTTGCATGCATTGTTCCACATTATCTCCGACAAGTGTTCAAGTTGTGTGTGCATTGTTCACATTGTCTCTGACGGGTCAAGTTGTGCATGCATTGTTCGCACATTGTCTCTGATAGGGGGGTCAAATTGTGCATGCATTGTTCACACATTTTCTCTGACAGGGGGGTCAAGTTGTGCATGTATTGTTCACACATTGTCTCTGACGGGTCAAGTTGTGCATGCATTGTTCACACATTGTCTCTTGGGGGGTCAAGTTGTGCATGCATTGTTCACACATTGTCTCCGACAGGGTGTTCAAGTTGTGTGTGCATTGTTCACACATTGTCTCTGACGGGTCAAGTTGTGCATGCATTGTTCACACATTATCTCTGACAGGGAGGTCAAGTTGTACATGTATTGTTCACGCATTGTCTCTGACGGGTCAGGGACAATGTGTGAACAATACATGTTCACACATTATACATTGTTCACACATTGTCTCTAACAGGGGGGTCAAGTTGTGCATGCATTGTTCACACATTGTCTCTGACAGGGGGTAGAGTTGTGCATGCATTGTTCACACATTGTTTGACTACCATTATACATGCTGATGCTGAACATTTTGATAATTGTGGTCATTAATTTGTCACGTATTCACACTGACTTTTGTTTATTAAATATTTAAGCTAATCAAAAACTTATTCAACGTTTAATTTTAATGCAGCTGTTGTGTGTCATCATTTTTTAAGTGAAAAAACCTTCAACATTCTTTTGGTTTATCATTTCTAGTCTGGTTTGGCATGGGCAAGAGCATCAGCTGCAGTTATTGATTTCAATTGCTTCTTAATTCTTCTTCCTGTCTGTCGAAGCATGTCATTTCTTCGAGGTGTAGATGTAAGTATATCAAAAGTTGTCATGGTTACAACACATAAGTATTTGCTAACGTTTGTGCGAAACTCTTGGAGAAATTGGTTTGTTAGTGTTATTTGATTTGAATATACATAATTCTAACATGATAAGATAGTATGAAGTTTAATGAAGCTGGAATTTGAGAGGAATATTAAAAAACTTAAGGTTTTTTTAAAGAGATTTTTAATACAGTGGCTGAAGAATTTCAGTATATTTATTTTTGTAGCGTTTCAGGAACTGTGGGGTCAAAGAGACATCCCTCCCCCTTACACTTTTTTCATAGAACATAAATTTATTGGTTAAAAGTCAGCATCTCATGTCTAAACTATAAAATATATTCTTATGCTATTCTTTCCCTCTTAAGCAACCTTTCATGGTCACTTTATCAAAGTTCATACCATTATGAAAAATATATAAAGAAAATAAATTTCTCTACATGTGTAGTTCTGAGGATTGACTATTGTGTTGAATATAAATTTGAAGTATTACTCCAGTAACTATACAACGTTCAGAGCATCCATTTAAAGTATTACTCCAGTAACTATACAAAGTTCAGAGCATCCATATGAAGTATTACTCCAGTAACTATACAATGTTCAGAGCATCCATATGAAGTATTACTCCTGTAACTATACAAAGTTCAGAGCATCCATAGGAAGTAAAGTTGTCAATGATAACCTAACCATAGAATTGAAGACATTTTTATGACATAATTTTTTTGTGATATTTCAACTTTAGTGTTGTGGAATGGGTCACAATTTACAACGATTGCTCGATAAAAATATCACATTTCATCGAGTCATTGCCTACGTGATTTGTTTCTTCACCAGTAAGTTGTTCTTCCTGTATAAGCTTTTACTAAATAATGGAAAATTCAGAGCATCATGAATAAGTTTTGAAAATAGAATATTCGAAAAATAGGGTGTTGTTATTGGGTGTGGTATCTCAAAAGAAATAGTCTCCCCCCTCTCCCTCTTCTTCTCTCCCCCTCTCCACTCCTCCACTCATCCCTCTCCTCTCCCTCTCTCTTCCTTCCCCTCTCATCCCTCTCCCCTCCCCCTCCTCCCACCCCCTTCCCATATGGCTATTGGATAAGTAAAGTTTTGCTTCATGTTTAATGTTAATCTATTACAGTTGATTTAAAAATGAGATGATTGAAATTCTAAAGATTTTTAAGTATGTGAAAACATTCGAATCCCGTTGAGACACCTGAATTTTTCAGGTTCATGAGACAATTGCTTAAATTGTCCAGCAAAGTGCGAAGATCATATCTTTATTTACTTTCAAGCACCGTACTGCATAAAACATTCTTTCCTATGCGAAAACACTTTGTCTGTTTTCATAAATTTCAGCCATTCACATCGGAGCACATCTTTTAAACTTTGAGAATCTTATTGATGCTTATGGTCGTGACTCTAAGGATCTACGCTTTCATTTGAGCGATCTGGGGGATTCTGGGAATGATACTTACATCAACCCTATAAGAAAAAAAGATACAGTAAGACCACATGACGTCATCAATAATTTTATTCTTCACGTTCCATTAACATAACAGTACGTCATTATTTTTACAGGACCCTCCAACTGAAGTCTTTAAGACTGGTAACTATATTTTTTACTTACGAAACTGAGAACCTTAGATAACATGAAAACATGACAAGATTTGCGCTGTGTAATTTAATATTTTTAATCGGGATTTGTTGGAAGAATTCACGTTCCTTTGCACTTGTTTTAAATGCGACGTTGAATTTTAACCAAAGACAAGATAGAAACTTGTTTGTAAATTTTCATGGTTCAATACTCGTTATTTGTGCTTATTGTATCATCTAAAGCTTTCTATAAATTGTGAAAGACATAATTAACATTGATTTGTCGTTGCTTCTTTAAAACTACTACATTAAATAAGTATTTCCTCCAAAGTAAAAAAAAAAACAACATTGTCACAACATTTAAGGTGTTAGTCCCCAAATCAAGTATGATTGAATCAAATAACAATAACTGCATGTCCATTTCAAACAACTACAATTCTCATAAATAGAAAGTATATTTTGTAAATTATATGAATGAGTAGAAATAAATATAGAAAAGACTGTATTCATACTTATATAGCAAGGCAAATCTTGTGGGCTTTTAGCATTTCAAAGGGATGTTACATGATCATGGTTGCTGTAAGATCAGTATTTACTCTCATTATACAAGAAAATGACCCAGCAACATTTATTTTAAGGAACTTCACAACTCTGAATAGCTAGATATTGCAAACTAAATTCATAATATACTTTGATAGTTGCATACAAATTTCTAATAAAAAACTGTTCCAGTAAATAAATGAAAGTTGAACACTTGAAAATACAAATGCTTGAATATTGTCAATAATATATTTATACCTTTTATAAATATACAACTGTTGTTATTTGAACCTTTGTTAAAAGAAATCTACAATATAACTGTTTCTAATCAGCTTTAGCATAAAGAAGACATACCTAAAATGAAAAGTGAAATTGATTTTCATCTTCATTAAAAAATGAGCTACAAATTCCTTTCCTCTTCTTTCTATCTCCTTGTACGTTTTCTAAATGACAGAATTATTTTAGCTTCTAGAAAATAAAAGATAAGTAGAGTCCAAATGCTTCAGTTTCAATATCTATAGTTTGTTTATAACCAAATGAAGATTGTTGTATATATTGCAGTACATGTTCCGGTCCAAATGCTTTTGTTTTAATTTCTATCGCTCGTTCATAAAAACCTTTTTGCTTTTCCTACTCTCCCATTTTACTGTAAACCGAACCCAGATTGCTGTACGTTCTCGCAATAATAACATGGTCAGGTCCAAATGCTATTGTCTGAATTTTCATCGCTCGTTCACAAAAACTTTTTGCTTTTTCGTACTCTCCCATTTTACTGTAAACCAAACCCAGATTGCTGTACGTTTTTGCAATAATAACATGGTCAGGTCCAAATGCTATTGTCTGCAATTTCATCGCTCGTTCACAAAAACTTTTTGCTTTTTCGTACTCTCCCATTTTACTGTAAACCAAACCCAGATTGTTGTACGTTTTCGCAATAATAACATGGTCAGGTCCAAATGCTATTGTCTGAATTTTCATCGCTCGTTCACAAAAACTTTTTGCTTTTTCGTACTCTGCCATATCATTGTAAACCGAACCCAGATTATTGTACGTTGTCGCAATATGAACATGGTCAGGTCCAAATGCTTTTGTTTGAATTTCTATCGCTCGTTCATAAAAATCTTTTGCTTTTTCGTACTCTCCCATATTATTGTAAACCAAACCCAGATTGTGGTACGTTGACGCAATATTAACATGGTCAGGTCCAAATGTTTTTGTTTGAGTTTTCATCGCTCGTTGATAAAAATCTTTTGCTTTTTCGTACTCTCCCATATCATCATAAACCAAACCCAGATTGTTGTACGTTGACGCAATATTAAGATGGTCAGGTCCAAATGCTTTGTTTGGAATTTCATCGCTCGTTCATAAAAATCTTTTGCTTTTTCGTACTCTCCCATATTATTGAAAACAAAACCCAGATTGTTGTACGTTGACGAAATATTAACATGGTCAGGTCCAAATGTTTTTGCTTCAATTTCTATCGCTCGTTCATAAAAATCTTTGCTTTTCGTACTCCCATATTATCGTAAACCAAACCCAGATTGTTGTACGTTGTCGCAATATTAACATGGTCAGGTCCAAATGTTTTGTTTGAATTTCATCGCTCGTTCATAAAATCTTTTGCTTTTTGTACTCTCCCATATTATTGTAAACCAAACCCAGATTGTTGTACGTTGTCGCAATATTAACATGGTCAGGTCCAAATGTTTTGTTTGAATTTCATCGCTCGTTCATAAAAATCTTTTGCTTTTCGTACTCTCCCATATTATTGTAAACCAAACCCAGATTGTTGTACGTTGTCGCAATATTAACATGGTCAGGTCCAAATGTTTTCGTTTGAATTTTATCGCTCGTTCATAAAATCTTTTGCTTTTCGTACTCTCCCATTTTATGTAAACCAAACCCAGATTGTTGTACGTTGTCGCAATATTAACATGGTCAGGTCCAAATGTTTTCGTTTCAATTTCTATCGCTCGTTCATAAAAATCTTTTGCTTTTCGTACTCTCCCATATTATGTAAACCGAACCCAGATTGTTGTACGTTGTCGCAATATTAACATGGTCAGGTCCAAATGTTTTCGTTTCAATTTCTATCGCTCGTTCATAAAATCTTTTGCTTTTCGTACTCTCATATTATCGTAAACCGAACCCAGATTGTTGTACGTTGTCGCAATATTAACATGGTCAGGTCCAAATGTTTTGTTTCAATTTCTATCGCTCGTTCATAAAAATCTTTTGCTTTTGTACTCTCATATTATCGTAAACCGAACCCAGATTGTGGTACGTTGGCGCAATATTTACATGGTTAGGTCCAAATGCTTTTGTTTTAATTTCTATCGCAAGTTTATAAAAATCTTTTGCTTTTTCGTACTCTCCCATATCATCGTAAACCGAACCCAGATTGCTGTACGTTTTCGCAATATTAACATGGTCAGGTCCAAATGTTTTTGTTTGAATTTCCATTGCTCGTTCGTGAAAATCTTTAGCATTTTCATATTCTCCATTCGTACAAAGCAATAAACCCAGCTCGTTGTACGAATGTGAAACATCAATATGATCAACACCTAAAAATTTAGTTTGAATTTCTGTTATTTCATAAAGTATTTTAGTTGCAAGTCTATAGTTGCAAAATCTTTTCAAAACATCTACAAAATATTTGGCAAATTTCCAATTTATTTCACGAAGTTTTTGTTTTGATGATTTTACATCGATCAACTTATTTAGGAAATGTTGAAATGATGAACTTGTGATGAATTTAATTACATGTGGAATTATTTTGATTTCATCTTCTCTGTCTTTAAAATGATTTAGTGCCCAAGCAACTTGACAGGCAAGATCAGCTGCAGACTTTTAGAATTATTTTCGTTTTGTTTACAGCCAAAGGTCTGCGATGAATAATTTATGATGGCTTCGTGTACAACGCTGTGCAAGCGGATGTCGTTGTTTTCCGTTTGAAGGAATAAAGAACAATGCTTTAATTGAAGACAGACATCTTCTGCAGATTTTGTGGATCAATGCTTTTAATAAATTGTATTATAACATCTTGTGGTAAGGGATCGAAAGATATTGAGAAAAGTTTAAAAACATGTTCCAACAAGATGGATTCTTCAGCATTTTTTTGTACTGCTAACATAACAGTTTTCATTCCTAAGTAAGATGTGTTTATTTTTGAAAATTGCCATCCATGTTCTGTCGCTCTCCTTCATTCAACTTATCAAAATATTGCTCCCACGTGAATGTCGGATTACACTTTTACACTACCTACGTAGGAAGCAGCATTTGCCAGGAACAACGGTTGACGATCTAATTTGTCTGATAAATCCTTTAAAATTTTCATCTTTATTATGAATATCAGAAAAGACAGATAGAAGTTGTCGACATTCTTCATTGTTCATACCATGACTAACTGAAATGTGTTTATTTAGATTTCCATCTGGTGGTATAGCATCTGTATTTTGACAGTTACTATAATTTGACCATTTTTCCAGCTATGATCACCAACTTGAGGTAATAATGGATAAATTTTATGAAGTTCAACCACGTTATCTACAACAATCCACCATGTTTGCCAAGATTTCAGTTGTTGTGTCAGCAATAATTGAAAATCTTTATTTTGTCTTCGCTGCTTTTGCTTCTTTTAGAATATTTTCAATGACAGTTTTATCATTGTTTAATCGTTTATAAAGGTCTACATAAGTTTTCAAAAGAGAGTCGATATCTTTCCTTCGAGTGTCATCACAAATGTCGTTTTCTTTTCCCAGTCAAACTGAGTTATACATTTCTTCACAAATTTGTCTGGCTAATTGAGATTTACCACTGCCAGGATTACCAGAAATATAGTAATATGTTAGTTCATTATTGTTACTGCGCAAGTTATTGAGATCTGCTGTGATTTGATTAAGTAATTCTGTACGTTTAACCATCGTGATTTGGTTTGCAAGGAAGTACTTGAAAAGATTAAACTGTTTCGTTCACTTTTTATTTTATTAATTTCAGTGAATGAAAATCCTAGATCTTGAAATGAGTTTTCAATATCACAAACCATTTTGTAAATTCGGTATCAGATACTTTTCTCTTTATTATGAGCGATTTTGTTTCTTACATCACGAAGTTTATCCAGCAGCTCTAACTTTTGGATCAATTTTGTTCCAATTGAGTTGGTAAACAATATTGCTTTACATAATGTCGTACAATCCCACTTACTGGTGTCACCATCTTTAAATTTTGACAAATTTGTTTATCACAAAATTTTTTTCTTGATTTTCAATATTGAACAACTTCTGACCACTAACGTTTGTATTTCCCATTCTCGAGGATTTTTTGTAATAGTGTTCCATTCTTGGATAAAAGATCAACAAGTTTCTTTTAACATACTAAGTATTTCTGCAGGTAGAAGTTATTAATTTCTTCTCTTGACTGCATCTAAGGGTCATAAAATTAATATCAACATAAATTGGTTCTTTAATTAGAGTTTATAGACAACTAAAATTGTTGAAGATCATAGCTACGTAATGTTACAGTTTTACTTGTACGTGTAAATGAATATCGAGGATGGCAGCTGAAAACAACAATGGACATTTTAGTTTCCTGCATTTAGGCATTTGGCTACATTTTAGTTTTCCTGCATTTAGGCATTTGTCTACATTTGGTAGTGGCGTCTTCAGGATTTTGCGGTGGGTGGGGAACAAAATTTGTACCATCAGTTGTAATAAATGGCCCTAAAAATTGCTTCTACTGGAAAATTTTTGAAATATTTATCACAACATTAATAGTTTCAACTTTTTATTTTCCAGTTAAACCTTGGCGGATTTGTACATTCTTCGTGTTATAACGTTACGTAGATTGATTTTGTTTTAGTTTTAAAATGAATTTTTGTCATGTTGTAATAGAATTTCAGAATTTAATGAACTGTTTTCATATTATAATACTTCCAGAGTTGCAGTATTCATGAGCCTTACTCTTAGTCATTGCTATATTTGTATTTTGTGTCTAAAGTTTGAGTCTACGAGTATACTTGTCCACGATCTCATACAAGTTCTATGATATGGTGTAATGTGGTTCATGACATGCATCACAATATTACTTGTTCTTCTTTGCCCACTAGAGACTTGAATTATTCTAGAATTATTGTTTGTTTTTTCATTTTTAAGGAATTAAAATCTTCACCACTCGGCAAAAACCCAGAAAGGATAAATGCAACGCAAAATAGTCTGCACAGCTAATAGAATGCTTCCTTTTACAGTAAAGTTGTGCGAATTCCGTAAGAGCTACATTAATGCCATGTGCTTCTTTTCAATTTCGAATGATGCATGAAAACTCTTATCTAAATTCAAATGTTGAGCACTTGGATGGCACAGCCAATTTATGGGGGCACGTTCCCCTTCCCAGGCCTTTAGCGACGCCACTGCATGTTAGAGATGAATAAGATTATTGAGTTATATTATCACTTAGGAAG